ACCCCTTTGATATTTTTTTTTTTTGAATAATTAACAATTCTGATAGAAAACTGCAAATCAAAATCTACTGCTATACAAACAGTTTTTGGTAAATACCAAATTGAATAAAAAATTAAAAAAATCATATACAAAAGAAAATTTATCTTTTGATAAAGCGTTCCCTTCAACATAACCAACATTTCACTGGAAAAACAAAAAAAATTAAAATCACGTGAATTGAATTTATTGAAAATTTTAATAAAATTTTAGCTGAAAAAGAAAGGCAAAAATTTAAAAAAAAAAAACCATATGGAAATCGAACGTTTTAGCGACAATAATTAAATCGAACTTTCACTGATATTTTGTATGATAGAAAAAAAAATTATGAAATTAATTGAAAAATGAATGCCCCATTTTTTGTAATGAAAATTTAAAAAAAATTATCCTTAAAAAATTAAAATTCATGATACGGACAAAATATAGTAATTTAAACCAATTTCCGTTTACAATTTGTGTAATATGTGATAGCATAAATAACGCATCCTGAAATGTTATCCGGAAATTTTTTTTTGTTATTTAAGATGTGGTGATATAAATGAAGGATAATTGGAAAAATTAGTGGTTAGATAGAATAAATTAAATTTTGTTTTTTGTTTTCTTTTATTATTTTCGGATATTTTAATGTTTTTGTATAAATTTTTATTAATAATGCGATTTTAATTAAAATATAATTGTGTCAAAGCAATTGTTTGTAAAGTAGAACTTTTCTCTTCCATAAGTGAAAATACTGCTTATAAACGCAATCTACTACATTATTTAAATTACTTTTGTTCATATAAAAAATATTTAAAAAATTGCATACTTTTAGGATAATCGATGGAAGATATTATCTTCGAAATAAAGAGGCGTTAAAATAATGATTGAACTGAAGGGTGTAGAGGTCTTGTAAACGAACGGACGGACGTATGGACAAAGTGGATCTAATGAGCATACATTATACGCTCATTAGAATTTTGCGAAAGCATAGTGTGCATTGCTAAAAAGAAGTTTTCGTATGTAGCGTTACTATGCAAAAATATTTATCAGTATATCTATACAATTTCATTTATATCATCTATATATCTCACATTTAAAGCAAAACCACATCTATTATAAAAGAACTTTCAACATAATGAAAAAATTTTAAAAATTAAATAAATTTTCAACTGCGATTTAAAAAAATTATTTAATCAAACCTACATTTTGCAAACTACTGAAATCGGTATGTTGCAAAAATAATTTCTCTTATAATTTTGAATTTAAAAAAACTTTTATATTAAATAAAAATTAATTTAGATTGATACTAGTCTAGTTAGGACACAAGACAATTTTTTGATATCACAATGAATGTAACATTTTAGCTTTTAGAGAAGTTCAATTACGCTCACTGTATCGATATAGTAGATCAAATATCGATATTTTGCAAAGAAGTAACGGGACAAGTAAATGAAAATTTTTCTGGTGACATTGAAATATATTTATTGCATTTTTGAAAATTTGAGCACCTGACGAAATACCGTGAGAAAATTACTTTGCTTAAGATGACACTTATAGTTAAAATGGCACTAGATCCCGACTTTACTAAATCGAATTTACATATTACCTTTACAGTAACTTGACAAAATCCAGCATTTTTATGGCTCAGAAGGAGCAATATCTTGAACGAAAAAAATCTATTCTATAGAGAATTAGTGTTTTCATCAAGATTTTCGGTTTTCTATGAATCGTTTGAATATTTGATGTGTAACTAAAATCTTAAATTAGAAAACTATTCAATTTTCAATAGATTTTTTGTCCAAGTTTTAAAAACAGTATTGCGCAAATCAAATTTTTTAAAAAATTCTGCAACGATTCGGCTGATTTTCGGTCAGTTTTAATTTTTTGAAATTAGTTTATAGATTACAAATATTCAAAACATTGTTGTCAAAAGTCTGACGTTAAGGTATTAAATGAATCTGATGTGAAAATTCTCACCAGATTTCATCTCAAATGCTTAATCTAAATAGGTTCAGACTAATGTGTAATTGACACCTTAGAAGTAGTCTAAATTGGCGGACAGCTGTAGTTAAATTAAAAGGCAAATTTTTGAAGTAAATCACAGTATACATACAATATTTTAATGCCTTGATATAATATGAGATTAAAGCCAATTTTGACACTTTGAATCTACGGTTTATTGGTCCCTAAATCCAAGAGTATGAAATATTGTAAACAGTTTTATATACTCGTATCATAGTATATTACACCTAAAATTTAATCGGAAAATCAGTACCTTGCACCAAATTAATATGATAAGTTCATAATGCGACACAACCTTCGGTTTTTTTAAAATTTTGTTTAAAAAATTCTCGGCTTTTTGATTTTTAAATAATAATTTTTTTGAAATAATTTAATATTTATTTTAATTTTATCCTTTTGAGAGTTAAATACCTATGCGATGATGATTTAATTAAATTTTAAAAATATTTAATTTTCATTCATTCATTTTTTTTCACTCTCACAATAATTATTTGAAAATTACTTTATTTAAATATTTTGACGCTTAACCATTATTGTTTTACCAAATTATCATAATTTGTGATTAAAAATAACTTTGTTTTTTTGTTCTATACTCTGATTATCATCGTAATTCGTTTTTAAAACCTAATTATTTAAATAATAAATTTTTTTTATATTTTAAATTTAAGATTATCATAATAATATATTGGAGTTATTAAATTATTATAAAATAGTAAAATTATTTATTTAAAAGAAAAAAAAATTTATTTATAATTTCAAAATTAAATTATAATTTAATTCTGATGTGTGAATATTTTAATCGGATTTTGATTAGACACACAAACTAAAACTAAAAAAAAAATGTGATGTGATCAGCACCTGAGTGACGACAACGACGTCTAGTTTAGTGAAATTGTTGCAGTATATTATGAAAATGTGTTTTAAATACTAACCGAAAAGTGTAAATTTGGCTCTTAGAAGAGTTTCGCATTGTGGTATTCGAATTCCCTGAAAAATCCACCAGCTAATTTCAGTAACAATCAAAGCTCAAATATCAAATTTTAAAAAATTCTATCAATTAGTTCTGTAGATAAGGTAAAAAATTTTAAATCGCCCAAGTTAGGTTTCCGAGCCCTGATCGTTCCAAAAAATTTTTAGGTTCATTGTTTTAACACCCCAATTTTAAATATTATATTTTAAGGAATTTGGTTGATTATTTCTTTTTATATGTGTAAAAATGTAAAATCGACCCGGATAACGGCCAGTCCTATTCTCGAGGTTCTGATATATCCCCAAAATTGATTATTTCCATGGCATAGTCGGAAAAGCTCACATATAAATTTTCATCAAAATCGGTTGGACCGAGCTTCAGATAAACGGGTGCACATACAGACAAACAGACCTTCATCTTTCTAAAAACAGTTTATTTATGTTTCCATGCTATGAAGAAGTTTGTTCTCATCGAAAATTTGACATCAAAAATTTGATGCGATCACATAACCTTCCTTATTTTAACAATACGGTTGGCAGCATTGAAGGATTATTTTTTGTTATATAGTAAGGATATAGGAGCAAAACACTAATATTTTGTTGATTATACCAATTAGGGATTGTTTTTTTTTCTGATAAAATTTAATATTTTTAAAAAGTATTTTAATATTTAGTTAAAGAGATTTTTTCAATATAATTTTAATTTTCTAATAAAAAAATTACAACAATTAAAAACAATTGAAATTAGAATTATTATTGTCAAATGATGGGATTATTTGTGACAAAAGTGGCAATTAGTTTCCCAAAGTTTTAATAAATTTTTGTTAAAAAAATTTTGTGATAATCAAGTTTTCTGATTTTACATCTCGAAATCGGCAGTTTCTAACGCTAACCTTAGCTTCATGGGTTCGTCAGCATTGGTTTTTAAAATTATAAATTTAATAACAATTGAGATTGAGTACGGGAAGAAGTAGTTCAAGTCACTCGAATTAAATGCACTTTTTTTTTAATTTCTTATTAATAAAGTGCTGATTGTTGTTTTACGGAGAAATAGTAAGACTTATTTAACCATATTGTTTGACAACAAGATTGTTCAGTAACACCTGTCAAAGCCACAGTGTTCGGCAGAGAGAAGAAAACTTCCCGTTGCTAAAAAATATAGCGGAAATTCAAAATTCTTGCAAAAATATTTAGTACAGAAAAGACAAAAAAGCAGTCAACCGTGGAAGACGTAAAAATTTTGCAGAAAATTTAAAGAAACTTAAATATTTCTGAACCATTCGTAACCGGTCAATGCTGGAATATATTTTTGTTGATTTGAAATGTTATAATTGTGTTAGAGCAAATGGAAAAAACAAAGTAAGTAATAAAATGTTTTGAAATTGATAAAAAATTGCCATTGTTCACCTAATTTATTAATTTTTGGAGAAAAGTCTAAAAACTGAGGACCGGAAATTTACAATTTTTTTAATTAGAAATTTTGTTACTAAGCCTGTCTATCCCGAAACTTAGCCGTAAAAATAAATTTAGTCCCTTGCTATTTTACTTCTGACAGCTTTCTTTGTATATTTAATTCAAACTTCTCCGAATAACTTGGAGAACGTAATATTATAATTTTTGGTAATATTTTGAGTGTCTGCCATTCATTAAGCTTATTTTATTCTATTATAATTACGGAAGACATATTATTTTTTATATAAGTAAGAAATTAAAACAAATTAACTTGGAAAATTTTATTAGCACTAAAAAAATAAAATAAATTTAATAACCTTATAGCAGGTTTAGCTTGTTCTGGAGATTCAACCAGTCTTAGAGCAAAGAAAAATAACAAGAAGTTGATAATAATCGAAATTTCAAAATAATAACAAAAGTGTCACTTTTCTAAACACATAGTTAATAAATTTGACCGCTTTTAAACCAAATTAATAACCAATTTAAAAAAAAAACCAAAAATTTAAATTTATTTTATTTTGTTCTTTATTTGTTTTTTCCAGTATAATTGTTGTGGTGTTAGAGGACCAATTGATTATAAAGTATCAGCACATTATGGTTATTTTCCAAGAACATGTTGCGATAAACAATATGAAGAAGATGTTTGCTCTGAAGCAACATTATATAAGGATGGCTGCAAAATTAAATATCATGAATGGTGGGAATTAAAATGGAATGAATTAATTTTAGGTTGTATGGCAATTGGTGCAATTGAAGTTGGTGGTGTATTCAGTGCCATATGGATGGCTGTTAACTTGAAGATAATTGAAAAGAGAGGATTTACAAAGTCAAAGAAAAATAAAAAATAAAAAAATTTTTTTTTTTTGTTTATTTTTATGTTGCTGTTGTTGGTGTTGTTGTTATTGTTTATATTTTTGTTATACATACAAAATGGACTAGAAGAGGAAAATTCAAAAAAAATTTTCTTTAATTTGTTCATTTTTTTCTGTTTTTTTTTTATGTTTGATTTTGTTTATTTTTCTTCTCCTAGTTTTGTGTTATTTATTTAGGCCAATTCTATGAAAAAAAAACCCCATCTTTATGTAAATAAATATATACGTAATTATTTTTTAATTTTATGTTTCAACATTTTTGAAAAAAAAAAAATATTTGTAAAAGAATTGTTATAATTTTTATTTGGAAAACACTATAGAATAATTTTTAAATAAAAAGGAAATTAAAATGAAAATTGTTTAAAAATTTTAATTAGAAAAATTTTATTGTTTTTTTTTTCGTATTTTCCTTATGTAGTACGGTTTGCACTGGAATGCATTTTTCTTAAGAATTTTTTTATCTTTTACATCTGGACATAAGGATAATAAGAACAAGAATCAAAATTCAGATTGTATTCTATATTGTATAGGGAGCATTTGTGTAGAAAAAATGGAAACTTTTAAAAAATTTTATACATAAAGAATTAAGTTTTAAACATTGTTGGTAAAGTAATGAATTTATTCTTCGCATTTTCTTGTTTTTTCCACAAAGCACAACCAATACACGAAGTCATCTATTGTTGAGAAAGAAAATTGTAAGTTAATCTTTTTCTTTAAAATTCTTAATAAATATATTACGAAATGTGTAATGGATTTATGAAAATTTTATACAATCAACTTAGTTTTTTAGTTTAATTACAAAATGATTAACTTTTAAGATTATGGTGGCAAATGGTGGGTATAAATCATTAAATCGCATTAATTGCGGCGCAATTATATTTTTTGACATAAATATCTTTGCTCAAGTGCCATTTGATCCATACGTGAATGTCGTGATTTTGGGCTTAAAAACAGGTTCTTAGATTTATGAGGATTTGAGAATAAGTAACCTGTTTTTCGCTCTCTCATTTAATTTTATACAGATACACAGACGTTATGTTAATCCACTTCCATTTACAATCCAATTTGAAATAAATTGGACGTGGGTAAAAATTGGTTTGGCCTTTTTTAATATAACTCGTTTTAATTCTCGAATCCCACATGGAAATTAAAAAAAAATTTTGTGCCCAAAACTTAAAAATCAAAATGACGAAACTTCTGATGAAAACTTAAAAAATCCAATCAGTCAGTTTTGAAATTAAATGTTTCTAAACTTCAGGCGTGATTTTCACGATTCAGAAAATATGTAGTATAAATCAAAATTTCACTCATCATAACGCTATTTGCATACCTTATGTAGACAGGCTTATTAAAGTATCTTCAAACTGTAGTTATAAACAAAATTGGGAAATTATTAGAAAATTAAAGCAATTGAAGCTCAGAGTCATTATAATTTTTTTAATCTGGCAAATATAAGAGAAATTTTATTGTGTTATTGCGATTAAAATTGGCAATTTCAGTCTACAAGAATTTTTAAATTTATTGGAAGTAATTTAATTTTCGCGTATTTCACTTATTCTTAAGTATGTTGCAGTAATTAGGAAAGCTGAATAATGAATAAAAACAATGCAGGTGTTAGTTATATTTTGTGTCTTAACAAGCAAATTTATAAAAGCAATGTTAACTTGCTTAGAGTCCAGTACTGATAACAATCAATCACATATTTTTAACAATGGAAACATGTAAAGTTCTAATAAAATTCCGAGTTATATAAAAGAATATTTTGTGCTCATAACTTTGTTAAGTACCCTTTAAATTCATCCTTAATGTAGTGTTGACGATATATGGTCAAGTTTCTTTTAATAAGTTATGTAAGTTCAATTGTCTTAGAGTGTGCTTTAAAAATTTTCGTTTCATTATTTTAATTTTTAATGTACAGAATTACGCAAAAAAGTAAAAGTTTTCTCTTCCAAACCAAGTTATGTTGTACATATCTATATTCTTTTTTATTTTGGTATAAATTTTCAAAAGAAGTTTGGAATTCATTTTGAAAGGAAATTGCTTTGGACTAAAAGCTACAATATACTTAGTTATTTAATGTTTCTGTAACTTTCTGATTCGGAAATTTAAAAATTTTCCTGTTCCTTAAAATTTTTTCATTTTTGAACTTGGAATTTTATTTTGTTCTCTTTTTTCCTTTATTAAATTGTGGAAAAATACAAAAAATTTCAAATAATTTAATTTTAAACCTTCGAGAGAGATTTTTATGTTGAAAATAATATTTAAATAATTAAAATAAATTAATCGTTTAAGGATCGAAACGGATGTATACGCCGTTTTAATAATAGGCCCTTTAAGCATTGTACAGATTACAAAATAGTTACCGAAGCTTTTATTGCCAAATCGATAATATTTCCAACCGATTTCAAATAAATTTTTTTAAAATGACCTGAAGTGCTCCTGTAATTGTTGTAACATAAGCTTTGTCAATTAATTTTCCTGTTTTTAATATTTGTTGATATAGTTTCTATATTAAGAAGAATAAAAACTCATATATGGTTATAATTACAAAATTACAATTCTAGCTAAGTTCATAACCTGGACATAATATCCGAAAATATTCGAAACCCGAAAATCCGAAAAAATGTTAAAAGTACTTTAACTCATTTGGTTGTAAATATAATGACGCCGACGAAAAATTCCATATTTAATATATTTTCCAGGCTCTGTACAAACAAGAGCCTTTTTCAGATCAAATCAAACCACTTTGAATCAAATGGAAATTTTCAGTTCGCCCGAGGTAAATCACTAAAACCGTTTGCTTTTGTATCTAAAACTGCTTTTTCGGGAAATGTTTTTTTAAAAATTCAGTTTTTTTGAGCAAAGGTGAATATATATTTAAAAGCAAATATTACAGTTAAACCAATTATCCGGAAACTTTTGGTCCATTTTTCAGTAAATTTTCAAATTCATGTTTATTGCGTTCTATACGACGACATGCTAACACAACACAATATAATCATTTTGACCTTTTCAAAATATTTGAAATTATCTTTAAAGAACTTGATCAAGAAAATCTATTTAAGTTAGTCTCAAGGGCAACATCAAATGGACAAAAAAATTATTTGTTTTATAGTGGATAAAAAATTATAAACTTAATTTTAAATTTTTTATTGTTTTTTTTTTTTAATTTGGTAAATAATTTATTGGTCATCCAGATCCCGTTTACTCGTTTTGCTTCATTATGTATAAAAAAAGCAGTGTAATAAAAGTGTCAATGATTTAAAAAATGGACGAATTCGAGATTCGTTTTGCTACTTGTTTTGGGTTTAAAAAAAAGTCTGTTAGGATACGTCACCTGTAGTTGGAAAATTCCATTTGACGTTTGGTTACAAAAGTAATTTTGTTTTAAATTTGTCCGATTAATTAATTAGTTTTAGTTTGTAATTTTAATGCTGTTGAAGGTGACTTATTCTGCTAATGACGTCTCTGATTACGGAGGATTTTAAACTCGTTGATCGCATTAACTTTCAGTGAACTTGTTTTATTAAAAACTAGACCTTTTTCGACTAGAATTTAATTGGAAAAACCATCACTTTCATGACTAACGCTTGCAATATGCGTTCAGATAAAGTACGAAATTTAGTTTTTATCAATAAATATTTTTTTTTCCAATTTTCTACTAATATTGATGATCACTTTTTTTTCTAGTAAAATTTACTTGCTTTTTTTAAGGACCTTTTGCTAAAGAACATTTTGTTTTTGTATTTAAAAATTAGAAACATAAACAAAAAGTTTTCTTCACTTTCAAAAACTTTATCCCCCTCATTATAAACACAAACTTATGTTCTATCAAATTTTTACAATGTGTCTATATATATATGAGATTTCCATTGTATTCAATTTTCCTATATGTATTGCATAATTATTATACATAGGAAGTTTGCTTTCATATTGTTTCTTATATATATTTACAAGAATATTTTTGTATGTAATATATAACTGGATTAAATTTCATCTACTTTTTGTTTTTTAATAAATAAAGTTAAAAGTTTTAACAAGGAGCTATTTGGAAACTACTATTCATATGAGAGTACATATACACATACATACATATACGTTATATCTACTTAAAATTTATTAAAAACAATTTCTCATCTTTCACTTTCCTCTAATATAGACATGGACTATGAAGGTATTTTAGAGTATTTACCAATATTAATTATACAATTATATACAATACTATATATATATTAATATGGTGGCAATAAAAAAACGGAAAAGGTTAATATTAGATGTAGGTCAAGCGTTTCAAGTTATAGTAGTTGCAATGTTAAGCTGTTAGCAAGTAAATATAGAAAAAAAGTTTTGAAAATTTATTTAAGATCAGGGTGGAAAATTAAAAATAAAAACAAGTTTAAGGGATTAATTTTTAAACAATTTTAAAGTTATTTGACCTTGTAATTTATCGATTAGATAAGTAGTTAAGATTATTTTTAGATGCTAAACGGTTGGTTAATCGCTGAATTGATTTTGATATTGTGACCATGACATTTTTAAAATATAATTTCAAAGGTGATTTTTTTTTGTTTTTACGAACCCTTTATCAAACTGCTGCAAGCAATAAAATTAAAATATAAAATTTAATCACATATAGTGTTAAAATAAATTAAAAAAAAATTATTTTATAATTAGCCGTGAATTCCTTCAAATTTAAGTAAACCTAACGTTCTAATAAATGTTACTTCGAAATATTAGAATTGAGAGATCTTGCATTTTATTCTATTTATATTAACAAAAATTATCTTCAAATATAATTAAGAGTGAAAATGTTTCATGACTTTGTTAAAAATATGGTAATACTATAAATACTGTCATGGGGATAGCGTTAATTATTATAACTAAAATAATATCGTAAAATCAGGTTTTCATAGCATCCCTAGGTATACCGCCAACTGTGCTAAATTTTACTTATAAAACTTCCTCCTTCTCATTAATTAGTGCAACATAGTAATTTGAAGTGCCACTAGGTATAGTAATTCTAATATAATATGATTAATCTTATAATAACTAATTTTAATATAAATAAATTTGTAATATAAAAGTTATAATTATAAATTAATAGTTGAATTTAAATAAAATTATTCAACATAAAAATATTATTAATAAAATTACATGGTATAGTATAATAAAATAAACTTATAACCACCATAGATATGGTAAACAGATGTCCAACAAATATAATAATTTCAGTATCTA